CTACACTCCACCGAGCATTAATTTACTGCTCTTGCACTGCACTAGTCTAGCAACGGCAACTGACCACACTGTATAATATTACGTTTACGTACATATTTACAAATACTCCTGACCTCTGTCGTCTCACTCTCACACACTAAATAGTCTCCATTACCTTAATTAAAATACAAAACAAACTATCCTATAATAAAATAGGATCCTACCGTTCGCGCCACTTGTAAGCAGTGGACACTTGCTTCCCGGTTCGAAGTTTATTTGCATTTAATTAAGGGTTTGGACAATGGAAACGAGCGTGATAATAAAGGGTAAACAAAGTTAAACTATGAAACAATACAATGAATAATTCGACAACCTCTACTTCAAATCCTAATTAACCAGACTCGTATCGCCCATAAACGCTCAGCGATCTAGTGCTGCAACATAAAACACGGATAGCACGGTCAACTCGCCTTGACCGTGCCTAATCTAGGTGCCCTGAAATAACCACTGTCGATTCTAAACCTCTAACGACACGTTCCATCCGTGCTCACCAGGCCCCAACCATAACTGGTCCTGGTCCCTTACACTAGTCTGGTATCAACCATGACCCTCTATCGAATAGGGTGAGAATGCAAACAAGGGGTATAATAAAGGTGCCCAAGGTACTCGCTGACTCCCGCTCTGCCAGAGCCCAGTGTTGTCAAGACATCCCCTGATGTCGGCCACAACCAAGCCTGATAACAGTAATTACGTAATGCTCCACTATTCTACGGCCGCCAATCTTATACTTACCACTATAACCATCTACCTAACTAAACGACCTAACCTTAACAGGTTCTAGCTACAGAACCTGCCCGGTATCAAAATGACCCCCCTCTCGATCGGGTAAACTGGCACTCCCGATCTCAAAAGGCTAATCGTATTTTCCTCTCGCCCCTGATAGTCTAAACAATCTACCATTTCCCGGGAATTGCAAACTGTCCTGTCGATAGCCACAACATAGTACCACTAGTATTCTGTAAACACTCCATAATTCAACCTTGTACTGACCCAAACATATGTTAAACTGACCTCTCTGCACTTAAACTGCAATAACTGTCGTATACTAATATATGCCCAAAATACTACCGTCACATACTGGACACCACGACCGCCTTATTATAATCACTACACTACCTAGATATTACACAATATTACCCTAAATTCATCTCAATTAATCACGGTTTACATTTTGCTGAGTTGTAATCTTTGAGCTTTGTAATTTATAAACATGACTAATAACTTGACAGGACATAATTACATTTTCTTTAAAATATAATTGTGTAGCTGAATACTTACTGTGAGTCATATATGATTTAACTTTTATTTTGGTCGAAGAAGCTAGCCTATATTATAGCCTATAATTATAAAGTATACCCAGTATACACTTCTATGATATTAGGGTAATGATAAATAAATAAATGTATAAATTTACAGTACTTGTTATATTCGCAAGTAAGTCATAACAATATATTCAACTACACTCCCCCCACACACGCCACGTTTACCTTTACGTCATTCCTTGTTATAGATCAGGACTACACATACCAAATACCACATACCGATGTAATTAATAATACGCTCGCGCTGGTTAGCTGTACTGTGAATATTGTTCTGTGTAGATCATCAGTGTGTGGAATGTGAGGTCACACTCCGGCCGGAGGGTGGAATGTGAGGTCATGCTCCGGCCGGAGTTACGTAACTGCGGTGTTTAGTCGTGTAAAGATCAGTTCTGGAAATGTCCTTGCTTTCTGCACGAAGTTTGGTGCTTTGAAAAGAGTTTATTTGAATTGATTGGTGTTGGTCCTTTACGTAAAACTGTAAAACAATCGTTTTATTGTACTAAATAATTATAGAAATGGACTGGTTTAAATGTACATTATTCCGAGTAGTTTGTTAACGACTCTGAACTCATGACGTTAATACATTCGAACTGATTTGTACTCTACATTCTGCTTATACCACATTACCAATGATAATGATCCCCCACCCTGCACCCCCAGCTACACACACAACACCCCCCACCCTGCACCCCAGCTACACACACAACAGCCCCCCCCCACCCTGCACCCCCAGCTACACACACAACAGCCCCCCCCCCCACCCTGCACCCCCAGCTACACACACAACACCCCCCACCCTGCACCCCCAGCTACACACACAACAGCCCCCCCCCCACCCTGCACCCCCAGCTACACACACACCACCCCCCCCCTCCACCCTGCACCCTGCACCCCCAGCTACACACACAACAGCCCCCCCCACCCTGCACCCCCAGCTACACACGCAACACCCCCCACCCTGCACCCCCAGCTACACACACAACAGCCCCCCCCCACCCTGCACCCCCAGCTACACACACAACACCCCCCACCCTGCACCCCCAGCTACACACACAACAGCCCCAGCCCCCCACCTGCACCCCCAGCTACACACACAACAGCCCCAGCCCCCCGGCCCCCACCCTGCACCCCCAGCTACACACACAGCAGCCCCCCACCCTGCACCTCCAGCTACACACAACAGCCCCCCTCCCCCCCCCCCACTTGACGCACACACACACAACACACCCACACACAACACAAGTAATGATCTCATGCCCACAATGTACCTGTTCACTGCCTCCCCGCTAATACCGTAACACGATACCCTAACTAGATCAAGCTAGCTCTCTGTAACCTGGCCTTCTCTCACCTGTCTTTTAGCTTAATATTCTAGAACTCTCCATTATAGGCACTGTGTTTGAATGTGCCCGCTCTTAAAGGCACTGTGTTTGAATGTGCCCGCTCTTGTAGGCACTGTGTTTGAATGTGCCCGCTCTTGTAGGCACTGTGTTTGAATATGCCCGCTCTTGTAGGCACTGTGTTTGAATGTGCCCGCTCTTGTAGGCACTGTGTTTGAATATGCCCGCTCTTGTAGGCACTGTGTTTGAATGTGCCCGCTCTTGTAGGCACTGTGTTTGAATGTGCCCGCTCTTGTAGGCACTGTGTTTGAATATGCCCGCTCTTGTAGGCACTGTGTTTGAGTGTGCCCGCTCTTGTAGGCACTGTGTTTGAATGTGCCCGCTCTTGTAGGCACTGTGTTTGAATGTGCCCGCTCTTGTAGGCACTGTGTTTGAATGTGCCCGCTCTTGTAGGCACTGTGTTTGAATGTGCCCGCTCTTGTAGGCACTGTGTTTGAGTGTGCCGGCGCTTGTAGGCACTGTGTTTGAATGTGCCCGCTCTTGTAGGCACTCTGTTTGAATGTGCCCGCTCTTGTAGGCACTGTGTTTGAATGTGCCCGCTCTTGTAGGCACTGTGTTTGAGTGTGCCCGCTCTTGTAGGCACTGTGTTTGAATGTGCCCGCTCTTATAGGCACTGTGTTTGAATGTGCCCGCTCTTTTAGGCACTGTGTTTGAATGTGCCCGCTCTTGTAGGCACTGTGTTTGAGTTACAGTTACAGTTACAGTTACCGTATAGTTGTGTATAAATGCCCAAACATAATCCCTAATAGCGCTAGTTCACGGGTATTTATTGTCTAACTTATTTCCAATACTCATATTTATACTAACGAGCAGTAGTCTAACAGTTAACAGTCTCAGTACACACTGTACACGTCATGCAATGTGGTTGTCTGTATAATACACTCGACTAGTGTGTCCTTAAGTAATGAATTATTGATATCGTAGCTTACTACAATACTGCAATACTGCATAGCGTAATCACTATTGTTGGGATGTTATCCATTGTTATTGATCCACCTCGCCAGTGTTTAGTTTGTACAGTAACGTTGTGTTTCCCCCCTCTATTCGGGGTATCAATAGTAGTTTACACACAGATATAATTCAATTTGAGCGCTATCTAAAATATAACACTAAATACCTCCCGTCTCGCCCCGCCCCCCTATTATAGTGAGCCACAGTGACGTCACTCAGCCTTTATATCCGTTTAACATAACGTCACACATACCTAAATCAAGAGGGGCAGTGTATATATTGTAGTATATAATAACTCACGACATTTATCTTGTGTGCAGAGTAGATCCTGTTACCTGTATAAGATCTATAAGTTTCGAGGTTTTTTCTATTAAACAGTTACAGTTACTGTTACAGTTACATTTTCAGTTACAATAACTGTTACAGTTACTGTTACTGTTACTGCTTCAGTTACAATTACAGTTTCAGTTACTGTTACAGTTTCAGTTACAGTTACTGTTTCAGTTACTGTTTCAGTTACTGTTTCAGTTACTGTTTCAGTTACTGTTTCAGTTACTGTTTCAGTTACTGTTTCAGTTACTGTTTCAGTTACATTTACTGTTTCAGTTACATTTACTGTTTCAGTTACAATTAAAGTTTCAGTTAAAGTTTCAGTTTCAGTTACAGTTTCAGTTTCAGCTACAGTTTCAATTTCAGTTTCAGTTACAGTTACAGCTGTTACTCTTACAGTTTCAGTTACTGTTACTGTTACAGTTACTGTTACAGTTACATGTTCTTTCTGCACAACACTACAACAGCTGGTGGATCTTGACTACCTTCTGTTTGTAACCCGGATACAGTGTGCTAGTTATACTACTGCTGTTATAGTGTAAACTACTGCAAACAGTAAACTTGCGAGTTGTCAGTTGCGGTGCAGTGTGTAAAGTGTACACTGTACTGTACATGTAGTTCACGTTATTTATTGCCTACCGTGCGTCTGTCAGCTGAGAGATCGTTTCTGGATCCCTAATGAGATTGTCAACACAGCTACCTGCTACATGACAGTAGTGTGTACAGTATTTATCGCTAACAACTGAGCACATGTTGTCTTTATCTCTGGTCTTCACTCTCTTTTTTATATCATTACTAAGCAAGCCAGCAAGGTTTCAACTTTAGTTGTAGTTTTAGTGGTCACCGTTTATTCTTTTTTAGGTTTAAATCCTTCTCTGTATTACTTTTTTTCCGTGATTACTACAATCTAATGTTCACTTTTTTTTTCTATTTCACTTGTAACAACCACAGTCCACAGAGCGTCTTGTTACACATCTGTCCAACTTTGCTTGCAGAATCATTCTGATAAAGTTCTTCGCTTTTCTGCAATTTTTAAGCCCCTCCCCCCTCCGCGCCGTTAGCCACTTTACACAAAGATATTGATATTGTGTAGAAGTTGCAAACTAGCGTCATTATTTGGAAACAACCCCTCCCCTCCGTAGTTACGTAATATGTAAACACTCCCTCATTATCTATTGTAACCCAGGCCTCTAATCACTTTGTAGAGAAATGTAACTATTGCAGCAGGGACAGAAGAGTTGTCATTGTCAGCGTCAAATCATTGGGCGCTCGTTACGAATTATCCTATTGTCCCTTTTAGATTCAATGATTTATATATGTTTCAATACGTCAGCCCACATGCCATCTTTTTTCTAATTATTATTCGATTATTGTTTCGTCTTTTTTATTGCGCTTTCTTTAACAGCATTATGAGTGTAACTTCATTATGGATGTTATCGTTTGGAGTTGCGGTGAGTGCAATGAGTTTAGACTTTAAAAGATGGATGCTTTTTCTTTTATCATAACCTATGGATCCAGATCACGAAAGTTTCTCCATCCTATCTTTCTATTTTTAAATTTCTACATTCCTGTTTCATTGATAATCGTTTTTTGATTGTGTAGACTATTGGACATCATAAATGTGATTGGAACATTGTTGTTTGCTCCCTCAGATCTATCTGTTACATATAATTATTAATTAAAAACATCGTCTTTTAAATTCATAATACATGCTTGGCCGTTCATCATAGTTAACGGATATTTTCGCAGCTCAAACAAACATTAATTACAAAACACACTTGAACACGTCATGCATTAAAACTTTAAAACACTGAGGAAGCTACTTTAAATACACTGTCCAATAACGGTCAAGTCTCGTGTTAGTTTGTTGCCGTGCAATAAATCAAGTGAGCGCTGTTTGGATTTTATTGTCGTGTGTTTATAAGCACACACTTGATACTGGTAACATGTGACAATACATTGTTGATTGTGGTCTGTGATTAATCATGTTTGGATGGGCCGCAGGTCCAATACGTGAGCAGTCGAGTTCAATTAATTCCATTCTAGTTTAATTTGATTATATTTTCTTGTTTTTTTTGTCGTGATTTTCAGAATGTTCTAGATGTAAGTGGTAGATAATGTTAATCCATGTCAGTTTTACATCAGATTTTATTTAGCGTGTTTATTTTCTGTAATGAAATATGATCCATTCTACTACCGATTACTTGCATTTTAAAAATTTGTTGAAAACATACCGTTAATTTGCATTGTGTAATATTATCGTCATTACTTCATTATTACGGGACCCTTCCCCCTTGGTTATGAAGTCGCATTATGTGTCAAGTCATATTATGTAAAGTGTGAACAAACAACTCCCAAGAATATTGACCACCTGGAATTGCCCCCTATTCAGTATTAACCTGATGACATGAACCAGCTGTCCAGTACCCACAATCACCACATTAACCACCACAACACCTTGTACCTCATCTAGAACCAAGATGTCACTTTGGCTGAGTGCCAACAATCTTAATGGCTTCCTTTTTATACAAAAGGTGGGACCGTGTGTGTACATCTCTAGCATACTTCACACAAAATTAGTGACTTATTTGTAATAGCGACTCCTTTATAATCTAACATTCTCTGTGACCACTGAGTAAAACGCGTGTAACAAAGTCCTGTACGGTGTGCGTTATAACTGCATTTTGTAACTTATAAGAGCATCTTTTAGTGTGCGATACTGTTGTACAACTTCGTTAATATTTTCAGCGACTGTATCATCAGGAATTCTTGATTGTAAAATTGTTTGAAGCAAATAAATTTAATTTCCTACTGTAATTATGGATAATCTTGTGAGTCCGATCTCTCTGAAATCATTTTGATATTTCTATTTAAATAATTTTTAATAAAATTTCTATTTAAACAAGTTAAACAAGTAAAAATGTCTAATTAATCATCTCACCCGCCCAGGTTTATGTCAAAACAAGTCCGACTGCCCCTGAACAACAGAGATGTGTCACGGTTCTTCAACAACTCAGTCTACAACCGCTCAATAAAACTGTGGGTCAACAATGTGTGCTTCACCTGCTCCCGGCTCATCCTGGCGCAGCACAGCAGCATCTTCGAGCAGCACCTCCGGGACTCGCCTCCCAGCGTTCTGCTGGAGGACTTCCACAATATTGAAGGAGCAGAGAATGGGATTCAGGATGCGCTGATTTTATTGTACGGAGGTGCGATAACAATGTCGATGAGGAACATACAGGTTCTGTCGAGATTCGCCACTATTTACAGAATAAAAGAACTCTTGAACTTGAGTATGGAGTGGATTAAAAATAACCTGGGCGTGGAAAACGTAATGATTTTCTTCAAAGCTTTGCAAACGGTGGATAGTAACGGAGACGTACAAGTTCCTGATGTAATCAGGAAGTTTATGGAAGAAAAAACAGGTCCGATAGTGGATCATTTGTTGAGCAGTTCTGACAATATTGACGATGAATTCCTCCTGGACATGCTGGAACTACCCAGCTCTTCCATTCTTGTTCAGAGATGTCTGAAAGCTGGCATGTTGCCAGATCCTATTGTCGAGCTTATTTTCAAGCACAGCAATACAATTAATGTGAACTTTCTCCTTCACGATGATAAGAGAACATATGTTAGGTTGATAACTATTCTGAAATCTAAGGCACGATCTTACAAGGACATGGAGAAAATAATTGACATTCAGCAGAAGTGTATCTCAAAAATGTGCCACCCGTACGGCTCTGTTGACTCTCTAGCTACTGGTGTCAACATGGCGGGTCTTACTCCCGCACCCTCCATAGCTACTATAGCTCCTCCCTCATCACGATCTCACAACGCATTCCAGCCAGTAGAACGGCCCCGAAGAGAGGAGTATCATCCCAAATCTCTAGAAAAGGATAGGGAGAATGGGCACACGCGCAGACAGAATAACAACCAAGAAGCTGAGTACCTCATGCCAGAGGAACTGAAACACAAACAGGACAGTCGATTTTTGCAGGACTTCAAGAAAGAAGAACCACCGCTGGATCAAGGTCGGGGTAGTTTCAGATCGCATAGAGATGAACCGCCTCCAGAAGAACCTCAGGGAAGTTTTAGATCTAACAGCAGACCGCCATTTCACATGCGAGACTCCTCGCAGGAGACTGACATTGCACCAGATTTCAATGCTTTTAATCATGACAGAAACCGTGAGGATCCTGTAGAGAAATCGTTCACGTCACAGCATCAAAACCAGGACGATAGAATGCCTGCCTCTGTGGTGGCCCAACTTAAACAGAATCTAGCCAAGAACTTTGTAGCAAAGTTTCCCGACCAGGGACTAAAATCTCGTGCTCAGATTCCTCAGATTCCAACAAACTATGATGACAATAAGGATAATTACGCTAGCGATGCTGAGACTTATCTTGAAGATCACAACAAGCGGACTAATTCTACCAGCGTGAACAGTGGAATGAAATCTTTAAGTCTGGGTAGAAATAACCGACCTATATCAGGTGAGCCCGAGGGGGATTCACACAAGACAAACTATGCTCAAGTTTACATGAAGAAGAGTCAGCTTCTAACTGATAGAGATAACAAGTTAATGGACAAGATGAATGTTCTGGCTCGGGATCAGGCTCACAACGTTACAGCTCATCAGGATGATATGATGGACGCACTTAACAAACTAGCGGAACAACAGGCCATTATCGAGCACACGTATGATAACATGTCCATACTGTCGGGCCGCATAGGACCCGGTAGAATCAGTCCCCTGAGGGAGAGTTCTATAGGTGGCAAACAAAACGACCATCACCCCCAGCCTCAACCAGAGAGACAGAGGGCTGCCAGCTCTACTTCTAAGAGGAGTGTCTTGGCTGTTGATAGTGTCAATGATTTTGAGGATGATAATCTTGGGAATAACCGCCACAACTCGGATAGTAACTCCCTGAGGGCTCCTATTCATATCCCCACTACCTTTGGTACGAAGGGTTCAGCTCGTAACTCTGTGAGGAGTAATAACTCTGTGAGGCCTCCCGACCTTCCCTCTCACCCCCCTCCGGGTGCGACTAGTTTTTTTGCCGGCGGGGCTTCGGAGGCCGAGTCCACGCCGCTAGAACGGCCTCCACCGACACTACACGTGCCGCCCCCGCCTAAAATAGTTGAGCATCCGCCAATTAACCTAGAGGAGATGAGTTCCCTAGATTCAGGTTTACCACCAGACATTGTCCCAGATCTACCTCCAGAGTGTCTCCCTGACCACGACCGTATGTACTCACCTCCCTTCTCCCCTGCCAGTTCTCGCCGTGTTTACTCCCCTCCAAGTGTTCGCTCTCAACCCCCTGCGTCTATCGCGTCCACCCGCTCCCGCCCTTTCTCTCCTCCTATCGTGGAGGAAGTGGAGGTAGACGACAGGGGACGCTCGCGCGGCGCTGCCCCATCTTGGTCCAGACCTAACAACGAGGAGAAAATCCCTATCACTAATCTAAAGAAGGAGGCTCCTAATCTTACTAAAGAAGAACTTATACAACATAGTGCTATTTTGTTAAACAAGCGGTCCCGTTCTAAGAGCAAGGAAAGAGCTAAGAGTAGAGAACGGAAATCAATGCGAAAGAAGAAGGGGGATCGTGCTGCGAAAAATATTTCTATCCCTATTTCTTCACTCGACAAAGGTAAACGTTAATAAGTTCAGATCAATTGAGAGCTCGTTTGAATAAGTCTTATAATGTGAATTTAAATTCTTTATTTTAAGATCTAAATTTTATCAGAAGTTTAAGTTTTGTAACAGATTATTATTATTATTACGCTGATATTGTGAAGCATTTAACGATTTAAACGTAGTTTTTGATATTATATTAGTTTAATATGAATATTAATATTATGATTAAATATTTCATAATATATTGATTTAACGACAGAGGGTAGACAGCGAAATAATTCTTTTGAACGTGAATTATTATCATTATCGGGTATGGTTGATATGTTCAGAATTAAGTTAATGCTAGATTTTATGTCTGAAAATAACACTGCTTTCTCTCTTCAAGGCGCCCCACACAGTTCACCCCTCATTCATAATATATGCGGTTTTTCCGAAACATTGTTGCAACATATTTCTTTTAAATGTTGATTGTTGACTTGCATCTCATGAAATGTTTTGAGTGTTCACCATATTCTGTTGCGCTGTAAGATGAGGGGTGACTGTAGATAAGACAACGTTCCTTAATCAATGTATCTTATGCAATATGCACGTGTCCAAATGACTGAATTACAAAAATATCTGTGCTCGTTGCTACATGCTTTGTCGTTGATAAGTTCTGATCCCGTGCACGCTTAACCCAGATGCTAGTTGCTAATATATCACCCGCTGGTTCTCCTTTACTTCGTATACCTGTCTGTGGAGTCATTTGGCTGTTTTTGATCCTGCTGAATTCTTGGAGCTGGGAATGCTGATTTGCACGCCAATCGATTACACCTTTCGCTCTGTCTACTGTCGGGTTTATTTCAGAAGTTAAGACCCTGGAACATCCCACGAAAGGCCGACCTAAGAAAGCTAAAAATCATCCCCCAACCTCACCAATAAGCCAGGAGCCGCCTCCAGCCAACACCAGTCCACCAGACAGAAAGCCCAAACCTTATCACATAAAGTTCATTCCTAGCAAAATACCCGGTAATACTTCTACTGAGGTTTAATGAATACGATTTTTATTTTCTAGGCATATTGTTTAAAAGGTTTTGCCTGTTATATTATTTATTATTACAGTAAATAGAAAGTTTCGTATCATTCTTGCTTTTAAACGCTTCGTTTATTTTCAGACAGAGAAGTCTATTTCAGCTCGTTCACAAATTCGGTAGTCTCAGACTCTTAGTGATGATTTTATTCAGATTTTATGTGCATTGTGTCATACAATTCAATATTTTATGTTTTTGTATCAAATCTTAATTCAGAAATACCTTTACGAATTACCTGTCTTATCTTGTTTCGTTAATTATTCAAGGGTCGAATTTTCAAAAAACTCTCAAAACTGTTGAGCGCCGTGTGGCAATTTAAAGGTAGGACGAGAGTTTTGTAGAAAATGTAAGGCGCGGATGGTGCTTTTGTGATTATTTGTAAGATAAGTTCCCGCGCCGCGCCTGCGCGCACATGACATTAATTTCGTGCGCGCAAACGATTATTTGCAGTACTTAAGGGGGGTCATCTACTCAGTACACAGTACAGAACGTCCGCCAAAATCGCAGATTTTCAGACCCCTCGCCCTGTCCGGGTGTGTCCGAATTTTCGAAACCACCCCTCCCCCGTATTACAGCTACTCTAAAGAGTATAAATAAAAACCAACTCAAATTCAGTTAATAAAATGTAGTTACTTAAAATAGACAATAATACACTAAGTGTCGGACTATTTTAGCACAGGTACATTTAAGTACTCGTTCAAAATAGAGGTCGATGACTCGATAGCGATCTAAACTTACAAAGTATTCTGTATCGAAGAGTTGAAATAAATGAGACTTTTTCGTTGTTTTGCCAAAATTCCCAAACTTCCCTGTCCGAAATTCCCAAACCACCCCCTCCCTACCTGCCAGACGTCCTAAGTAGATGGCCCCTTACAGTACTATACACAAATTTGACCATTGGTAATGATCTGGCCCGGCGCGCGCTACTTCGTAGCAAACGCCACTGACGTATTTCTCCGTGAAAAGCACGATAGCGTAAATATTGTCATACGTTGTATGACCCGCCGCGCACGAAGTGCGCGGCTCCCCCTGTAGCGTCGAAGACGCTACAGTGAAACGACCGTGGGGGTCACCACGTGATACAACGTAAATATGCTTTTGTCGCGTCGTATGTCGAAGTGCCTCAAAATTGATCTTGAACGATTCCCCGTTCAATTTTGGTCGCATAACGCCAACACAATGGTGCAAACTGCAGAATTAAGCAAATTATAGACATATTTCATACTTGTAGCGCGATGCACTACTGGGTCGCGCGCGCATCAAATAATGCTTCTCGCAACCTTCGGTAGATCGGCAAAATACACCACTGTGCCTCACCGAGCTGCGAAGGATTGACATCGTGAATCAAATTTTATACGTATCAAATTAAATGTGTTTTTGGTGGAAATATAGCATAAATGATATAGGCTTTACTAATTCGCTCACCCACAAATTACACGTGACTTTAGTTTTTATGCTTTTGCAGCCATACAAAACGGTTTTACATAAACCTTAATCCAAACCCTAACAATAACCCCGAAGCTAACCATAGCACTTACCACAACCCTTACCCGGGCTCTAAACAATCGAATTCGTATTTTACTAGCCTGTCACGTGACCAAAACGGTTTTTTGCCCATAACTCTCCAGGGAAGCATTTTAACCCTACGTCATGGGGGTGATTCGGAATCAGTGTCCAAAAATACACCGATCTAGATAACTGTCATGCCCAAAGGGCCTTTTCACAAGAATTTTCTTAAAATTTGGGCTTAAAAATGTCAACATGCATGTGGCAGGTAAAGCGTAATGTCAGATTTTTTTGATATTAGGTTTGATTGAATATACCAATCTGCTATAATCTCGAAAAGAAGGAAGCATGATAACGCTTACCTGGGGACCCTAGGCCAGGGCCTAGGGTCCACAGGTAAGCGTTTTCATGCTATTATGTTCATAAACGAACATAGAATAGAGATTCGGCGGAATGACAGGCTGAGCACCGCCCAGTAAAATAACGCGCGTAAAGCATCGATGAACGACAAACGACGTCCTCCAGGCTGTAGCCATAATGATACATAAAATTATCACAAAAATAGTCTGAAATTTTAAATTGGACCCAATATGTCCCGAAACTCTCTCAAAGAGAGAAAAGAAGAGGTTACAAAAGACCTGAATGAAACCCAAAAATTACAATTAGATCTTACATCAGAGAAAGGGGCAAGTTCCTGGCTTTCATCACTCCCACTCAAATCATTTGGATTCTGTCTCAACAAACAAGAATTCAATGACGCCCTAGCCCTTAGGTACAACTTTGGAATAAAAGATGCTGCAAGAAAATGTGTATGTGGAAGTGACAACTCAATAAACCACTCATTGATCTGCAAAAGGGGTGGGTATGTATCTCTCCGCCACAATTCATTGAGAGATGTGATAGCAGAGCTATTAGAAACTGCTGGCTGTAAAGATGTTACCACTGAACCTCTCCTCATTCCTGTCAACGGGAGAGAACTTCCTGCAGGGGCCAACAAAGCAGATGGAGCTAGATTAGATGTTAGTGCTAGGAGTGTATGGAACCCATTGGAAAGGGCATTTTTAGATGTAAGAGTATTTCATGCTCAAGCTCCTTCCAATAAGGCTCTTGGATCTCCAACCACTATGTACAATAGCCACGAGAGACAGAAAAAGAATCTATACAATAAAAGGATTGTAGAAGTCGAACATGGGACGTTTACACCGATAGTCCTATCAACCACTGGGGGTATGGGAAGGGAAGCTAATAAGTTCTTCAAGAAGTTAGCGGATAAACTATCTAGGAAATCAGGCCAACGATATAGTGAGGCAATGACATTTATTAGGAAGAGAGTAAGATTTGACCTATTGAGAACAACAATCATAGCTCTTAGAGGAGAGAGAGGTTTTAAAAGTAGTAGTGCAGTAAAAATAGCAGAATTAGATATAAATTTGGATACAAATACCAACATTATTATATTCCCAAACGTTTGAACCTTTAAATTAACTAGGAAAGTCAATCCTCAACTTGACTTTTACTGTTTTAAACAGATATGATGATATTAACTTAATTTATTATTATTATTATTATTTTTTTTTACATACTCCTTCTTAGTGTGGTGACTTGGGGTCCATAAATATAACAATACAAGCTGATAAACCAAAAAGAACAACTGGGGTAGGTAGGTAGCCCTGGTGGGTGTGTAAACTTTACGGTCTGCTCTCTCCAAGATCAGCCTGCTTCTCCATTTTACCGTGAAGCCTAATTTCTAGTTTTTATAAAATATACAATGCAAGTGCAGGTTTACTAATCTTAATCTACTTAACAACTCAATAGCCCAAGTCACCATACCCGTAGTATATTCCATGGTAATAGAAGAGCTTTAAAGTTTTTCAAATTGTTGCTATAATTGATTTAAATAAAAATTTGTTGTTTTCTTGTTGTTTTCTTGAGCCAGTTCTTTAAACTGGCTTACTTAAACTACTTAAAGGGTGTTCAAGGGTTTTCTATTGAATTTATATTGAATTTTATATAGGGTAATTCTGCCGTTTTCTCAGAAAAGGCAGTAAGTCCAATTTTTCGAAATATGACAATATTGGTATCAAAATTTTCAGTAGAAAATTCTCTACAACATGAGCTACATATTAATGTATAGAAACATTGTTGCATGCAATTTCTAAGGAAGTAAGTCCCAGTTGAGAAACATTATGTTCGGTTTTGGCCAATTATTTTCTGAGAGAAGGACGTAAGTCCGGACTTACTGCCTTTTCTGAGAAAATCTTGAAAATCTTCTGAGATAAGGAAGTAATTCCGTGGACTTACTGCCTTTTCTGAGATAAATTATCTGTGATAGGAAGAAGTAGCTGGACTTACTTCCTATAAAAGCATGCTAAAAGCGGAATTTTAGAAAGCGATTTCCCAAAAAGAACATAACTTTACTGCCGATTGATATTTTCGCTTGAAATTTTCAGAATCGATGTATAATTACATTTCAACTTTACTTAAGTGATCAAAATTTTCATTTAGGCCTCAAAAAAAATTTGGTGGCCGATTTTCAAAAACGCCGGATGTATTTTAGTCGCAAAACATAAACATTGGAGCAGTTATTGAGCTGTTATAATCGCAGAGAATGTTTAGTTTAGGTATATCTTTTAGATCAAGTTCATTTTCATCAAAATATCGATAAGATATCATTTAATGCACTGAAATCTTTCAAAATTGGCGAGTTTGCCTAAATAAGGGCAAACTATTATTCAAAAACATTTATTATATGATATGGAGCAATTTAGATTTACCTAATTGTTTATATTTTACAATATAATCCAAAATACATAGATCCATACCTCAAAAATTTAGTAAAAAGCTTGGACTTACTTCCTTCTCAGAAAAATATTGAACAGAGATTTTTCTCAGAAAAGGAAGTAAGTCCAAGTTTTCTCAGAAAAGGCAGTAAGTCCATCCAGTATGAAAAATAAGCTCGATTATTTGGCATAAAAATGGTTATATCTAAGCTTATGGACGGCTCAAAGCTTTAATTTTTTTGACAAATTAAAATTTGACTAATTATTGATAACTCAACGTGTTTACTTTCGATCTTACGCAAAAAGTAAGCGGAGAAAAAACCATAAACGCAAAAGTCGCAATATCTCGAAATGGCAAATATGGACTTACTGCCTTTTCTGAGAAAACGGCAGAATTGTTATATTATGTGTATATTGTTTGAATAATTTTTCTTCTTAAAAAAATTTGACTTGTACTCAAGTATAAAATGTTATTAAGGACAAAAGCCCAACGTCTCCAGATAAGCCTTCAGAGTATTAAGGTATATATTGAGAATGACTCGGAGTTACATAACCTGCTAGTTACGCAACACAACAGACTAAGTAACACTATTTAACTTTATTTGTTTCTTAATTATCTAGATCCTTGATACATGTTACGTATCACAAATATCAGAGATATTATTTTTCCGCCTCGCGCGCGAAAAGTAGCATGCAACGTATGTCAACTAGATCCTGGATAAATTCATTTCATCCCAAAAAAAAATCAAACTCTACTTATGATTGCTTTCTGCGTGCTGCTTTTAGTTGGTATCAGAACTAGATACGAATGTGGGACTGTTCCATTAATTCCTTGTTACCAACAAACAAACAAAATCGACTCAAAGTAGGGTTTCATCTAAAAAAGAAGGAAGCTAAACTCGTGTTTTGGGAGCACCTCACTACAAGAAGTATAAAGTGGCTCATTAATGTTCAAATAGATCGGCTACCTCTCAAACCTGTAAGTTAGAATATCTCCTGGCCTTTGATTGCTAAGTCCAAAAACTTTTGTTGTCATTGACGGGGTACAAATAAACTTAGAAATTAACCACCTTACCACTCAAAAGCTATGGTTATCTCCTGAATAAGCAACAGTTTTCAGATGCTATAGCTTTAAGATATAACCTGAAGCTGAAAGATTGTCCAAAACTTTGTACTTGTGGTGATTCCTACTCCGCAAACCATGCCCTCACGTGTAAACTTGGGGGTTATGTGACCTTGAGGCATAACTCACTTCGAGATACAATAGCTAATATCATGCGGACGGTCAAATGCAAAGACGTTCAGACAGAGCCCCCTCTTCTTCCAGTCAGCGGCATGCAGTTACCACGAGGTACAGTAACTGGAGATCAAGCCCGACTAGATATATCAGCAAGATCAGTTTGGAATGCGTTGGAAAGAGCATTTTTTGATGTAAGAGTGTTTCACGCTCCTGCTCCAACCAACGCCGCTAAACCAATTCCTATGATGTATTTGGCTCCCGAGACTGAGAAGAAAAGAGCATATAATGCAAGGGTCCTAGAAGTGGAAAAAGCTACCTTTACACCTTTAGTTTTCTCCACAACAGGAGGCATGGGAGTCGAAGCGCAACGCTTGATTAAAAAGCTTGCACAAAAGATGGAATCTCCAACGGGTCAGCGTTATTCAGACTCAGTTACATATCTTAGAAAGCGCTTGCGCTTTGAGGTATTAAAGACAACGGTTATTTCGATAAGGGGGGACAGAGGGCCCAAGTTGCGATATAAACCAGACAATATTGAAGATTTAGATTTAAATATTGAGCCCTTTGGCTAGAGAATACTTTCTTGAATATTTTCGATAGTTTTTAATATTGGTAATATTAATGAATTGTAATTGATTGATATGTAATATTTAGGCCCGTGGCCAGTTTTCAACAATTAAAAAAAAGGGGGGACTCCAACCCATGTAGCTGAGACACCTCACAGCAAGTAGACCAAAGTGGCTCTTGCTTGTGAACGGTGCATCAACTACCCGCAGGAAGTGGTGGGTTGGGAGTCCTCCGGCCCCTGGGATCATTTCGTCTGTAAAATTGTATATAATAAAAAATAGTACAGTAAAATATCTACAAAATTTACAGAAACAAATCTAGGAGACCTCAAAGCTCATATTCTGGGGGATGAGGTTGAAGGAATAAACTTAGAAAAACGCTTTGTTGATTAAAATTGTAGTTATAATAATTAATTAATCTGAAAAATGTATGTTAACAAATCTATGAAACCTCAAAACTAATCTTCTTAGAAATGAAGTTAAATGTAATTTCCTGAAGCCTGATGTAGTGAAATGTAACTCAATTTGTCCTCTGATTCCCACTGCACAATGAGCACTTCAACTTCTGGCACCAGGAGAAGAACGCCTGGTGAGTTGCCTGGATATCTAATTAATTGTTGCATGATTATATGATTGCATGGGTTATAAGGAATCTCATTGTAAGAGAAATTAACGTTATGAGAAATGTTTATAAAACTATAGTAAGACCCGACTTAGAACTTTGTGTTCAGTTCTTATAGTTGTGGTCTCCACCTGCTTGTCATGGGAATTGGGCTACTACCGTCAAACTGGAAAATAGCCAGAAATGGTTCACATGCCTTGTTGATTGTATTGGAACATTTCCTTAACGTGAAAGACTAGAGACCTTACAGATTACAAAACTTGGAGAGAGAAGAGTTGGAGAAGTTATGGTAAATCAGGGTTTGCAGTAAATCAGAGTTTTTGGCTCACATTTTGTTTGTTGAGCCCTATTTCACAGGGAGGAAGCCAATAGCATTCTTAAATAATAATTTTGTATCACATCCAAAAATATCCATCACAACCGAAGACACAGCCCATCAAAATGTAGCTTGCATTGAACACAACGTCGTAAAAACAAAACTGATATCACAATCCTGTGAAAATGTTGGATAATGTACTGTGCATGCATGTTGTTGTTGTTGTACATATATGTGTTTCCACTGTGTAACTATGTAACTTTCTAATTTGCATGGGGGCTGCTGTACATACAGAAAGAAACTTCAAATTAAGATATAGATATATTTCATAAATAACACATTGGTAATATGCTTCCTCTATTTCAGGAGAGAAAAGGATTGATCGGTTAGAAAAGGAAGGTGAGGAAGTGTATCAAAGTCTCAACTTTAAATGTGGGCGTCCACTAATGATCCCACCAGCTCCTAACTTATCACCTTACATTGACAAGTATCCAGAGGGAGCAGATTTGAGCGACAGCAATAAGAAAAGCAAAAATAGGCAAGAGGACTACACTGCTGAAGTAACAGTGTACAGGGTATTGGAAAGGTTGGATGACAACGTCATCGTGATTCATGGTATGGTATACAATCATGGAGATTACCAGATATTTGTTGATGACCATAAATCAAAGAAGAAAATTGGTGAAATTTGTAAAATAAAGAATAAGGAGCCGGAGGAGGAGTGTGATTTTTTAATAATTGGAAGCAATTATATAACAATCATAGAAGTCAAGAATATAACTGTTGAAGATCATCTCGACGTAGCAGCTGACCAGCTTAGTGCTTTGACAACAATCTTACATAATTCTTTTGAGCAGAGACTGAGGACTCTTGATCTGATAAAAGGCATTAACAAAGATGTGGTTGTTCATTGTTATACAGCATGTCCTAATTTGAGTAGGGCAAAGCTCCCTAAGTTGTTTGTTGAATCTGATCTGGTTTCCACAGTAATATTTAAAGAGGAACTTAATGATTTTCCCAAATGGTGGATGGATCACATCAGTGTAACTGGTGAGATTACTCAAAGTCCTCTGAGAGATACATATATTTTATTGGCATTATGGTGCACAGAAAAGAACAAGTGTGATAAACTGAAATGTAGCATGGGACAGACAATAACAAACATAGACAAATATCTCAAAGGTGGTGATTTTACGTTCATTAGCAAAAATCGAGATCCCAATCCTGGTGTTGCATCGGAGACCCCTCCAATGATTAAAGAACATTTTGGACTCAAGAACTTGACTGTGGAACAGCTCAGTGCTCTTAACTCGGAAAAACAGTTCTTATGGATTAATGGCCCAGCAGGAACAGGGAAATCAGTTGTCATTATGGGGAAGATATTAAAGTTGGCCCTATCAAACGACAAGCATAAAATTGCATTATTCCATTTTGTTGATAATTGCAACAACTACTGTAATCAGAACTTGAGTCTTCTTGAGAGTGCTGGGATCAAGTATGAGATGATATTTCCTGACTCCTGGTCTTGGAAGGGTCGAGATGAACAAAATGCGGCTTCTGCTTTATGTGACATTATATACAGGTGTCACCAGTCTAATCAAGTTGCTGTTATTGTATTAGATGTTGCATCAATTCAAATGTATAGAAAAGTGTGGCTTATTAAAATAGTTGGCTGCCAACAACATTGCTCTTTGTTCATTGACGACTACCAGTCTTATATTGGTATTAATAGCTATGTAAATTATGATGTTCCAATGTTAATCAGCACACTGATACAGTTATCTCTTGCAAACACGGTCTGGGTGGCCTGTGATGTTGTGCAGTATTGTTCATATTATTCATATTCTTTCCAAACACCCGCTAAGCATATGAAATGTATATTTGCAGAAAGGAAAATAGATCAAGAGCAGTGCAAGTGGGTGAATCTCACCAAAAATATGAGGAATACTTTCGAATTATCTGCTGTATTATCGGTAATAAGAGACTTTGTGAGAGAGGTAGAGCGTTTTAGAATGACTCAAAGTTTATTTCATTATAAATATAATTTGACCGATGTCTTACCGCCAAATGAATCTGGTCATTTTATCCATGGCCCTCTAATTGACATTCATGTCTTTAAAGAATCTGATGGTATCTCTGAAGTTGTCGATAAAGAAATAGATCGAATATGTAACGCAAATATTCTTGATCAGAACAAAGATATAGGGATATTACACAGTCTGAAGACAATTGATGCACGGAACATTTTTGGGTCAAAACCCTTTCATTACTTTCGCAATAATTACTCAAATGAGTGGCCAGTTGTTTTTGCTGTACACGAAATGTCCATGGACAGCGAGAGTGATTTGGGTAGAGACAATTTTTCCCGCCTCTACATCTTAATATCAAGAGCACGAGTGAAATGCTTTCTTTTTCTTCTTCCTGGGAGGGGTGTGAGAAGCAACATCTCTGCAATAAGTATGACTGATTTATTGGGCAAACTGAAACCTTTTGCTAATATTATACAGCATGATTAGATATTACTTCAAAACCATTATCAATATTCATAAGATAAGCAACATTAGAGCTAAATTTACTATATTGCGCAGTAACTTTGGTTGTTTAATTATATTTTGTATTTTTATCATCTAAAATATTCAAATTGAGTCCTATCTTTAAATCCTAGACACAGATGAAATGCCAAAATTGCACATGATGCAACAACAGTGATGGCAAAGGTTACTGCTATTGTAATCATTTGATTAAATTTGGTTAAATCAATATTTTATTTGCTAACTCACATATTTTTATTTGCTAACTCACACTCAAAGAGGAGTCTCTTAGAAAATTCCAACCCAGGTCAAGTTAATAAATACTCAGTAAATTAACGCGTATATATATGCGAAAATAACCGAATAACGAATAACACAGAAGTTAACCTAGGCATGCTATCAAGGATATCCAGGTCCTTGGGGACAGTAGGTTCCAGATGTATCAGCACATCCCAACCTCTACTCGTACAAAAGCTAGCTGTCAGAGATGCGCTTAACATGGCCATGGATGAAGCAATCACACAGGATGAGACTGCTTTTGTGATGGGTGAAGAGGTGGCTCAGTATGATGGCGCGTACAAAGTGACGCGTGGCTTGTGGAGGAAGCATGGGGATAAGAGAGTTATTGACATGCCCATCACAGAGGTTTGTGTTATATCATTATTATATTATAATATTATATATTAGATTATATAATATATCTAATCTACTGAATTGTAGATGCCAGATAAATGGTGGTAAAAGTTGATTTCATATTCCCTTTTATTTGTAACTTGTAGTACGACTGAATTATCAACTAGACTGCTATTTCAGATGGGTTTTGCTGGATTTGCTGTCGGTGCAGGCCTGGTAAGCTAACAAACCATTCTACATCAATTACATTTAGGGCATTATTGAATTTATATTTAGTTTCAATTTTCGACATTTTTGAAAAACCTTTCGTAAAAGTTAAAAGCACTCCTCTAGAGTCCTGTCCATATTTTATTTAACAATTAATATTGATATTCAATACAGTTGCTTGTTTCAGAACGGCTTGAGACCTATCTGTGAGTTCATGACGTTCAACTTTGCCCTCCAAGCTATTGACCACATCGTTAACTCTGCAGCTAAATCCCACTACATGTCCGCCGGAGTGGTTAGTTGGAGTTAATTAACACAATTTAAGTTTTGTTATATTATTATAATAGTATGGTTGAGACTGTAAACTGCATTTTAATTTTTGGTAGAGATTGTCGACATTATACTTTAAATGTAAGAGAATGTGTATTTCACTGTAAATCTGAACTAGCTGTTTTGTTGCATATTATGTTTCATTACTATGCATGGTATGCTATTATATGTATTTAATATGGTATGTTATGTATAATATGATAACTGCAGTGCCGTATGCAATTATGCATATTCTAACTGTCCTCCTCTGTATATATATATGTATATATATAGTAATGTAGCTACCGTTATTTTAATAGGTTTGGTGCTGAACTCTTGAATAACCAATGTTATTTTAAAAATGTTGACAAGTCCTAAGTGGTTAGTTGGCACTCTGCCAACAATCACTCGCGTAATAATAATAATATTATGTAATACAGTGATGCATTATTGTTAACATAACACCAGGATAGTAACAAACCTGTACTACACACAATAACATGTTACACCATATCATGTTACACACACAGAGGTGTACAGTGCATTATAACTACAGGAAATACTCAAGATTGAGCACTTTTTAAAATACATATTCTTTGACAAAATGTAGGTGCTCCTTCATAACTCTTTATAGTGTATACGTGTGTACGTGTGTGTGTGTGTGTGTTGGATATCTGTAGATTCTGATTGTTAGTAGCGCGGTTTGCTGACTTTAATAATAATATGTAAAGGGGACAGTGTAGAGTTACACTTTCAGCTGCGTTATAAGTCAATCATTATTTCGTGATATATTATGAGGATAATTTCATGATAATATATGATGATATTCTGAAGTTGTCACAGTCTGGTCACAGTCCACATTTACATGGCTCGTATTGGTAACATCTGTAGGGTTTATAGCTCACGGCTGAAATATTGGCTGTCGGGTTACAACCATGCCTTGATGCCTTATAAAAAGTGGGGTATTTTTAGCCTTGATTTTCGTTTGTTCCGTTTAGCCCAACTGTCATTTTTGCCGCGATCTATTGTAACATGAGTTTGTAATACAAAATAATATGTGAAAAATGATCACGTGAGTTGGTCAGGTGATCACACACTAATCACATGAGTTGGTCAGGTGATCACACACTAATCACGTGAGTTGGTCAGGTGATCACACACTAATCGTCAGAAAGGACCGAGACATAATAAATATGGTAGCACCAAAAAGAAGAGTCGAATGAAGCCAAAAATGGCATGGTTTGACAGTGAATGTATCCGTCTTAAGAGGACACTCAACATTCTAGCAAAAAAGTATGGAAGATCCCCATTGGACAAGCTCCTCAGGGACTCTTATTACGACACTCGGCGACAATATAGAAAGATGATCAGACATAGGCGATCAGAATTCTTTGAGAAGCTTTGCAAGGACATAGAAACAGGGAACAACATCTGCTGGAAATCCTTCAAAGCTCTTAAAAATACAAAATCGCCTGCAACCAGTCTTGATGCCTTCGATATGATCAACTTTTGCAAGTTCTTCAGTGAACTTTACGGCAAAAAGAACATCAAAGACTCTAAGATCGCAGAGCTACAGTCAAAGATGCAGAAAAACAACATTTGTGACGACCTGACCAAGCTTTTGGATCAAGATATAAAGATGGAAGAGCTGTGTGCTTGCATTAAGGCCACTAAAAAAGGAAAGGCAGTTTCCGAAGATCTAATTTCTAATGAATTCTTCAAAGCCTCAACACGATCCATGCTCAAAGCAGTCCTCAACCTCTTCAACCACTGCCTAAGCCTATCAATTTACCCATGGACTTCATCAGTAGTTACACCCCTACACAAAAAAGGTGATATCTATGATCCAAACAACTACAGAGCCATCGCTGTAGCGAGCAATCTCGGAAAGCTCTTTGCAAGCATATTGCTGAAAAGATTGATATCATTCCGTGATCAATGTGATCCTGATACAGCCAACCAACTAGGTTTCTGTAAAGACGCACAGACAGCAGACCACATTTTCACACTCTCAACCTGCGTGGAAAAGTATGTCACCAAGAAACGCCAAAGGCTATACACATGCTTTGTCGATTATGCCAAAGCGTTTGATTCCATCTGTCGTGAGGCACTCCTATACAAGTTGTGGAAAATGGGTATTCAAGGGAGATTCTTTGAGTGCATTAAGTTCATGTACTCAAACTCCTCAGCCAAAGTGAAGCTACTAGACAAGCTGTCACAGAAGATCGACATATTATGTGGTACCGAGCAAGGACACCCCATGTCCCCTGAACTGTTTAAATGCTTTGTCCACCAGCTTTCACATGATCTCAACAACATCGAAGGAGTGAAAGTCCCTGTCCTAAATGATACAGATATAACTCATCTGCTATGGGCAGACGACCTTGTCCTTCTAGCCCTCAACAAACACAGTCTTCAACAAATGCTTGATGTCCTAAACAATTACTGCTCAGAATGGGGCCTGACAGTAAACATTGGAAAAACTTCAGTCCTTGTGTTTAACCCAACAGGAAGGCATCTGAAGGAAAGTCATGAGTTCAAACTGGGAGAACAACAGATCCCCTCCGGGAGAGAGTACTGTTACCTTGGCATTACATTTACTCTGAGCGGATCACTTAAGCTAACACAACAAAAGCTGAGGCAAAAAGCATTAAGAAGTTATTTCTCTTCGAAAAGCTACATTGATACCCGCCACATCAGAAAATCTATACTGTTCAAGCTATATGATACACTTATTGTACCTGTGGTGTCGTATGGTTGCCAAGTGTGGCTGCCAAGCACAGCTCTGTTCCGCAACTTCCCCACAAACACGAGCACCACACCAGAAACAGGAAACGTGTGTACACTCATTGCCAGGGACCCTCTAGAGAACTTTCATCTGTCTCTTTTGAAATGAACTGGTCAACATCCAATGCTGCGATATGGGGTGACACAGGCAGGCATCCACTTGGCATCTCGCTATCAAAGCAAGTGTTTAACTACAAAGAAAGACTTGAACAAATGGTTGTAGACGGTCGTGACTGCTTTGCTAGACACGCTTTCGAAGAACAGGCGACCCTAAACCTGAGCTGGTTCTCCACTCTCGAGCAGATGCAAGAAACCATCGAGGCATCAGAGAGAAACCAAGGATTAAGACCAAGCCAGATTAGAAAGGGTTTGCAAAAGTGGTTTATAAACTCATGGGAAACAGAAAGGACATCTAACAGAAAACTATCATTCTACAACTTAGTGAAGAGAAAGTTTGCTCAAGAGACGTATCTAGCCCTTGATCTTAAACCTAACTGCTCAAAGAAGATCGCGCAATTCAGAAGCAGCTCCCACCGCTTTAACGTTGAAACTGGTCGCTACGGCAAAAAGCGGTTTAACATAAAACATCGGGCCTGCAGACATTGCTGCTCAAGTGACGATGACTTGTTAGATCTTCTCTATGAGCTACCAGGGGCCTATCCAGTGATAGAAGATGAGCATCACATCCTCTACGAATGCCCCCTATACGAAGACCTACGCAAAAACCTGCATCAACGAACGAGGGACCTGTTAGTAATGAGAGAAGAACCGGGAGAAATCTTCGACGACTCAACAACTATTAGAGACATTGGACGGTTTTTAAATAAGGTCGATGAACGGAGGTTCCCGAAGAAAAATACTGAATGAATGTCGTGTTTTGTATATTTTGATAAGTATGTGGACATTGTATGATACTTTCTTTGTCATTGTTGAGTGCTCTGATCTTGGCTGAGTTTTTTCTGCATACGACTGTGCTATCTGTGCTATATTCTTTTATTGGCTATCTACTTTTACCACCTTGTTTGGTTGTTTGTTACATTGGGGTAGTTTTGAATATTAAACCTTCTATTCCTATATTGGTCAGACACGGCATCTGCCGTTTGACCCAATTTTGTTTAATTCCTGTTTAATTTCTGTTTAATTCCTGTTTAATTCCTAATCACGTGAGTTGATCACACACTAACCCCCTCCTCCCAGATGAAGTGCCCGATAACTTTCAGAGGACCTAACGGACCTGCATCTGGGGTGGGAGCCCAACATTCCCAGTGTTTTGCATCGTGGTATGGGAGTGTACCTGGACTCAAGGTAATTACTATTTTAGTTTAGAGCTTTACTAATCAGACCATTAATTTAGAGATTTTGTAATTAGTGGTCACCTAAGTAAGTTAGAAAGTTAACTCTGACAGCCGTGGCCGTACTGAGAAACCCCCCCCCCCCCCGTACCCTGCTGAGAACCCTCCCCCGCCCCCCCCCCCCACTTTTAATCCCTCCCTCCCTGGCAGATTTCTGAAAAGTATAGTAAATTTACTTGATTAACAAGAATGACCATTTTTGTAAAATACATAATAATAGTGGACAATAAAAAGCTTAAACTACCTGCTCAGTGCTCCCCCCCTCTGTGCTCTGCCCCTGGCTCCGCCCCCTTCTGCCTCATTCTCATTTTCTGCCCCGGCCCCCTCTGCCCCGGCCCCCTCTGCCCCGCTCCCCCGGCCCCCTCTGCCCCGGCCCCCCTCTGCCCGGCCCCCGTCCCACTCTGCCCCCTCACTTTAACCCATCCCCGGCAGGTAGTGTCCCCGTACTCCGCTGAGGACGCTAAAGGTCTCCTCAAAGCCTGCATCATGGACCCTAACCCCTCTGTCTGCTTGGAGAATGAGATTATGTATGGTACCACATTTGATATGAGCGACGAGGCTATGGATCCTAACTTTCAGATCCCTCTGGGCAAGGCTAAGATTGAGCGAGAAGGTAATGATTCGATTAGGAAACTGTTTGAAACAATAAACTTTGCGTCATAATTATGTGATAATTAGAGTTAATTATGTGGTATGTAACATGACGTGTTTTATCTCCCAGGAACACATTGTACAATAGTGGCTCACTCAATCGGTGTTCAAACGGCTCTAACGGCTGCTGAGGAGCTGGCTGGCCTGGGGGTCGAGTGTGAGGTATTTTGAATTCTGCAAATATTTGATGGATTGTATTTCACTTTTGTAAACTTTTAAGTTATAATATGTATGTTTAATGTTGATATTCGATATGAGTAGCATCATATTCTTTTATACTCTTAGGGAGTGATAAAACTGGGTTTTTGGTACTTAGCTTAGCATGAACATCGTAAAATATAAATAACAATCTATATCAGCCTGGAAGATTAGAATACATTTTCTGAAGAACAATTAACTAACACAATTAAACAAATACCAATGTAAAAGTGATTCTAAACTAAACTCTCTCCTGTTCAGGTAGTAAACCTGCGCTCAATCCGCCCCCTGGATATGAACACAGTAACCCAGAGTGTTATGAAGACTAACAACTTGGTCACAGTGGAGTACGGCTGGCCTTTTGGTGGTGTCGGTAGTGAGATTATAGCAGGAATTATTGAGGGTACGTACTTCATTTATATTTTAAACGATAAAATCCAGCGGGTCCGATATATTTAGGTCCGTCTTAAAAAGTCCATTATTTGTCGTTTTAATGACTGTTTTGTCAAATCCACAAGACTGAAGTACCAGTCAATGATGTCCAGAGATAATGTTGCCTAAAGTACCTGATTTTAGTAGCAAGATTTTAGTGAATACTTAGCATAACAACATTATTTAAGGTATCCTAGTATGATAAAAAAGCCCTCAAGTTCTCCCTTAAAAATAGAAATATATATATTTCTTCTGACTGAAACTTAACTCTCATCTTAATGACAGCACAAGCGTTCAATTATCTGGATTCAGATAATCAATTAATCAATTAATCAATATTTCAACTAATTAATCAATAAATTAATTAGTAATTATCCGTCCAGGACCAGCGTTCAACTATCTGGATTCAGGCCCATTACGGTGTACTGGAGCGGATATACCGGTCCCTTACGCTAAATCACTCGAGGAACTTACTTTCCCTAAAGAGTCCAATGTTGTCAACTCTGTAAAGAAAGTTCTCGGTATCTAAACTATCTAATAAGAGAGCTGGATAAATCTAATTAATTTAAAGTTATTAAGAACAGTTCGGATACTTGAAACTATTCGGAAATACTCGATGGGAAAATTAATTTATTTTTTCGGGATCGTTAGTTAGATAAATACCTGTGACCAGGTCCCATACTAACTAGCTAACTAAAGAAATTAGTTTTATGTTAAGGTCCTTGAGGACTCTACTTGGTATTTGAGTTTTATAACGTTTTCAGATATTTTAGCATTGTACAAAATTTCAATCGATATGATTAAACTTCTATTTTGAACATAATGAAGTAATTGTAGAGGAAATGAAGCCTTTTTTGATAACGAAGCCTGTTTTTGATAACGATGCCTGTTTTTATAACGAAGCCAGCAATATAGCTATATTTTGAGGATCGCTGGCACCATTTGAACTCCTTTCAAAGCTGTGATGAGCTTGTACCTTGCTATTATTCTATGATTTAATTTAAATTAAGCTAAATGATGTCTAACTTATTGATAATTGGGATTTTCTAGCTATTTATTTCCTCCGAATTTGATGTAGTACTTATAGCCAAACATTCCATCTGAATTTTATTTACCACTTTTCATTCCATTTGATGAAAGTTACCGTCTCAAGTTGTCAGTTATCATTTACGAGTACTTATAAACATTGAAACATTCGTCGGGTAAATTGAATTGTGTTAACTCATAGTTGATCACTAAATAAACATTCAATCTTTTAACTTTCGTTCAATCCTGTTCTGAGATTTGAACATTTTTAACACTGATATTAATTGGCAAGTCCTATTATAATTTCTATCATGCAGAAAAGCCAAAATGTCTCCGGCCGTGACTTGAACCGGTGACGTTTTAACGTTACGTGAAATCCACAAAAACCTCCACGTGACATCCTCAAAAAACCCCACGTGACGTGATCAGAAACCCACGTGACGTCATCAGAAACCCACGTGACGACAGGTGAATGTCGGGGAGCGGGCCAGCTCTACCTCTCAGATAACCCAGTAAAGTTTCCCCCGGTAACCCGGACTACTCCTGTATTCTACGATGAGACTAATCAGGAGATATTCGCCATGTCGGGAGACCTCGTTACTATCGACAACGCGGTAAGTCACGTGACCTCGTTATTAACTATAATGCGGTAAGTCACGTGACCTCGTTACAATCTACAACTCGGTAAGTCACGTGACCTCGTTACTATCTACAACGCGGTAAGTCACGTGATCTCGTTACTAACTATAACGCGGTAAGTCACGTGACCTCGTTACTAACCTATAACGCGGTAAGTCACGTGACCTCGTTACTATCTACAACGCAGTAAGTCACGTGATTTCGTTACTATCTACAACGCAGTAAGTCACGTGATTTCTTTACTATCTATAACGCGGTAAGTCCCGTGATTTCGACTTGAAAAACCTTGCATTTTCTCCACCGCAGTGCGCACTTTTTTTTCCTTAATTATCAGTCTAAAAACAAACCCCAAAAAAATTCCCCGGCCCTTTTTAATTTTGAAAAAATTTTTGCTTGCGCGGGAAAAAAACCTTTAAATTATATGATATTAAATTAAATTAAAAAAAACTGAAAAAACTCCCTGGTGCACGGGGGTACAAAATGTACTTCCCCAAACCCAAAAAACTTTTTTACCCCCACAAAAGGGGAATCACCCCCGAAAAACCCCTTTTGACGTAGATAACGCAGTAAAACATTATCAGTATCAAGAAATCTTTTAGACCCCCCGGAATTAGCCGGGGCTGAGGGGAAACCCGTCTGTAGATTCCTTTAACCTTTACGGGAAAAGTAAAGGGGGTTTGTAATTTTGGTTAAATTGACTTTTTAAAAAAAACCGTGTTGTTTTTTTGGGTTTTTTTTTGAAAGGAAATTTGCCTTTTAGAGAAATGTGAAATTGACGTTGGCCCCCAATTCTTACTTTTTTTTTCCACAGTTCCACGTATGTTAAAAAATTTGTTGAATATTAATAATTGTTTTTATTTTAAAATAAATATTTTTAAAAGTTTTTTTCCCAGATCGGATTTCAGTCAGTGCTGCAAAAAGAGGGTCGGGGAATAAAATGGGATTTAAAAACGGGGGACCTCCCAACAAAACGAGATAGTCTTCATCAATCATCGGGCAATTTGAGTTTTATCAGTCAAGGGGAAGGGTTGTGCAATGTGCACGTTAAGTGTGCAGGGTACAGGGCGCCACCCTGTGGAAAATCCTGATGACTTTTTTTATAATTATTTTGTTGTTCTTGGGGGTTATGACCTGTTGTCTGAGGAAAGACTTCTTTTTCCCAGGGTTTCAGAAAATTTGATTGTGCTTTAAGACCTGAACAAAGTTTGGTATTTAAAAAAGCTCACACCCGGCTTCCCCTTGTAATACAGATTTTAAAAAAAAACCAAAATTTTAAATAATAAAACCCCCCAAACCTGCCCATTTCGGGCCAAAAAAGGGCCCAAATTTTCGTCACATCAAATCGTACCCCAAATAAACTTTAAAAGGGTTTCGTTTTACTCCCCCCGGGTTCTGTTTTTCTGGGGGTTTGCCCTTTTACTCTGTGGGGTTTAACATTCCCCCACCCTTTCTACTTCAAGACCCCACAACAGGGCCCAAGTAATTTTCCCAAAAGCCCCCCCAATTTCCCCAGGTTAGCTTAAGTAAGGGTCCCGGGGGGGGGGGGGGGGGGGGTTTTCTGGGAAAAAGCCCCTCTTTGTCTGGTAACCCCTTCTCCCCCCTTTTATTTTCAAGACCCAAAAACTTTGGCCCAGAAATTTTTTAAACCGATGCCCAAGTTTCCGGGGTTAGCTATAAGAAAGGGGTGCGGGGGGGGGGGGGGGGGGGGGTTCTGGGTTAATGCCCTCTCCTCTGTGTGGTAACATTTTTCCACCTTTCTACTTCGGGACTCCAAAAACATGGCACCTTAAATTTATTTCCGGGATTGCCAAGTTCCGGGTTTCGCTAAAAGGTAAAAAGTCTGGGGGGGGGGGGGGTTCTGGTAAGGGCCTCAAATCTTTTTGGGGTAATTTTTTCTCCCCCCTTTCTACTTAAAGGGACTCCAAAACCATGGCCCAAGTAATTTTCCCACAGACCCCCAATTTCCGGGTTTTAGCTATAAGTAAGAGGGGTGGGGGGGGGGGGGGGTTTTGGGTAATGTCCCCCTATCTTTTGTTTTAACATTCCCCCCCCCTTTTACTTCAAGATTTCCAAAAATTTGGCCCCCCAGAAATATTAAAAGCCGGGCCCAATTTCCAGGTTAGTATAAGTAAGGGGGGCTGGGGGGGGAGGGGGGTTCTGGAAAATGCCCTCTACTCTGTGTGGTAACTTTCTCCCCCCTTTCTCCCTCAAGCCCTCCAAAACCCCATGGCACCAGTAATTTTACAGACGGGCCCAAGTTCCAGGTTGCTATAAGTAAGAGTGCTGGGGGGGGGGGGGGGGTTTCTGGAAATTGTTTTACTCTTTTGGGGTTTAAACATTCTCCCCCCCTTTTACTTAAAGACCCCAAACCCATGGGCACTTTTAATTTCACAGCTCCCAAAATTTTCCAGGTTAGCTATAAGTAGAGTGCTGGGGGGGGGGGGGGGGGGGGGGGTTCTGGTAATGTCCTCTACTCTGTCTGGTAACATTCTCACCCTTTCTACTTCAAGACTCCCACAACATGGCACCAGTATATTCACAGACTGCCCAAGTTCCAGGTTAGCTATAAGTAAGAAGTGCTGGGGGGGGGGGGTTCTGGTAATGTCCTCTACTCTGTGTGGTAACATTCTCCACCCTTTCTACTTCAAGACTCCACAACATGGCACCAGTAATATTCACAGACTGCCCAAGTTCCAGGTTAGCTATAAGTAAGAGTGCTGGGGGGGGGGGGGGGGGGGGTTCTGGTAATGTCCTCTACTCTGGTGTGGTAACATTCTCCACCCTTTCTACTTCAAGACTCCACAACATGGCACCAGTAATATTCACAGGACTGCCCATGTTCCAGGTTAGCTATAAGTAAGAGTGCTGGGGGGGGGGGGGGGGTTCTGGTAATGTCCTCTACTCTGTCTGGTAACATTCTCCACCCCTTTCTACTTCAAGACTCCACAACATGGCACCAGTAATATTCACAGACTGCCAAGTTCCAGGTTAGCTATAAGTAAGAGTGCTGGGGGGGGGGGGGGGTTCTGGTAATGTCCTCTACTCTGTCTGGTAACATTCTCCACCCTTTCTACTTACAAGACTCCACAACATGGCACCAGTAATATTCACAGACTGCCCAAGTTCCAGGTTAGCTATAAGTAAAGAGTGCTGGGGGGGGGGGGGGGGTTCTGGTAATGTCCTCTACTCTGTCTGGTAACATTCTCCACCCTTTCTACTTCAAGACTCCACAACATGGCACCAGTAATATTCACAGACTGCCCAAGTTCCAGGTTAGCTATAAGTAAGAGTGCTGGGGGGGGGGGGGGGGGTTCTGGTAATGTCCTCTACTCTGTCTGGTAACATTCTCCACCCTTTCTACTTCAAGACTCCACAACATGGCACCAGTAATATTCACCGACTGCCCAAGTTCCAGGTTAGCTATAAGTAATAGGAGGGGGGGGGGTACGTCATCACCACTCGTGATCTTCTCCAAGAATTTCGCGAAATAGTCTCTGACGCCACCAACATTCAAACAAAACTACCCAAATTCCACGTCCGTACATGTGTACATGTGTGTTAGGTAATAGGTTTGTGGGGGAGAGTAATATTATATTGCGGTAATAAAAATGTGAGGGGGACTCGTGAGAATGTGCTGTTCTGTCGAGTTTCGACTTTCGAGTTTCGAGTAGGGGTATTTGATTCGATCATATTTACTCTAGTAAATGTTAACGTGGATTCCATTATATAGAATATCACACAAACACTTTCCAATGAACAGCATCTATACTATCTGGATTATCCTAGAACCATAACTAAATCAATGAAATAATCATCAAATGAATTAACTAATTATAACTAACAAACCATTACATCAGGTAGAACTACCCCCAGCCGGACCCAACCAGCGTTCCCAACTCCTAGAAAGGCAAGTGTCCATTATAACTCTGCATGGTAAGCTGTTCCTAGCTTAACCAAGAGCCCTCAGTTTGGGCCCGGGGGTTTTAACCAAGACCACGGAGATTTTTTCGGTAGGGCTTGGCTACCGAAAAAAATCGTCAAAAAAGGTAAGTTTTTTTTAGTAAATTGTTTTAAGGGGAAATTGGCTTTTGTTATTTTAAAAAAGAATTTTTAAAACAACCCAGTTGTAGGTTTAAACCCTTATGAAAACCCTGTGATAAATTTGACCCTAACAAAAAGGGTTTGCCCCGTGATGAGGGTTTAATTTTAAAGGAAGTATATTTGCTAGTAGTTCTTTTTTTACTGATAAAAAAATCTTTTTAATGACATTGTTTATGAGGTGGGATGTACCCCGGGGTTGTACCCGCTGTCCTTGTATAGGAGCCCAGGTTTTGATTTCTTTCACCCCTTAAGGTGTAATATTATATGTAAAATTCCCTTCGGATCATTTTTTTAATCTTTTTAAAAATTATTTGTTTTTTTTGAAAAAAAATATTGATTTTTTTTTTAAAGTGTTTTTCGGGGTTTATTTTTTATCATCTTTTGATTTTTAAATTTTTAAACTCTTATTTTAAAAGAACTTTTTACTCTAACTCTAATTCTAGAAACAGCAGGTAAAAGATAAATCTCTGTTTTAAAAATTTAAAAATGATTTACTCCTCCTTCCTCGGGAAAACCAATCCCCCAGGGGCTACTTTTTAATAAACAAAAATCCCCCAGGTACCCTTAAAAAATAACAAAAATACCCAGGTAGTTTTTAAATTTTAAAAACAACACCCCCCCAGGTGGCTACTAATAATAAAAAACCTACCCAGGGGGGTTTCTAATAATAACAACACTACCTCAGGTGGCTACTAATAATAACAACACTCCCTGGGTTTGGGTTTTATAAAAATAAAAAAAACTACCCCGGGTGGCTACCCTGCAGTAGGTATCCCCGGAAAGGGTTCGCCCGGGAACTGTTTTGGCAACATGATAGTGTCCCCCATCAAAAATTTCTAAATCTAGCATGTTGTTTGATGTGTGCGGGGCGTCC